AGTAGAGGCAAAAAAAGGAATATTTGAATAGTATAGTAATCATACACTTTATAGCTACATCATTTGATTTTTTTTACTTTGATAGAAAATTTGAAATACACCGAAAGAAATTTACAATGTTTTTTTAAAACTTTTTTGGTATTAATAGAAAATTTTTTATTTAAGGTGGCAAAAAAACTTTATTTTTATCCCTTATGACACAAAAATTGTCTTTAAGTGAAAATTCCGAGATTAAGGCTTTCTTAGAATTTGGCTGGAAACAAAAAGAAATTGCAAAAAGGTTTTGATAAGTCAATCGACAGTTTCTAAAATAAAGAAAAAAATTAATGAAACAGGACAATATGAAAGAAAAGCAGGTACTGATAGATCTTTACTACTTATTTGTATTGATATATCTTATTTGAAAAAAAATAAATGCTGATCCACAAATTGGCAGTATTAAGCTTGCTGTAGAACTCAAAAAAATAGCTAAAAAAAATATATCTCTTCGATGTATACGAGATAATTTATGTTAAATAGGATTACATGGTAGAATTGCATTTAAAAACCATTTCTGTCTAAAAGGCATATCATGGTAAGAAAGTAATAGACAAGTAAACATGCTTTCTATTCTAATAAGAGATTGAATCAGGTTATTTTTAGTAATGAAACAAAGATAAATCTATTTGCCTTTGATGGAAGAGTTTATGTGCGAAGAAAAGTTGGTCAAAGATATAATAAAAAAAAATTTAAACCCACAGTAAAACATGGTGGTGGTAGTATCATGATTTGGGCATGTTCTTTGAGTGCAGATGTCGAAAATATATGTATAATTGACGGTTTAATGAACAGCGAAATATATTTTAGAATTATAGATACACATCTTGCGCCTTCCGTAAAAAAAATTAAATTAAAAAATTATATTTTGCAGCAAGATAACGATCCGAAGCATACAATTAATTGCACTAGAGATCACTTGTCAGATAAAAAAATTTTGACATCAGATTGGCCTGCACAATCACCAGATATGAATCCTATAGAAAATTTATGGTATATTCTTAAGGTAGAAATAGAGAAGGGGAAACCAAAAAATATAAAAGAATTAAAGAAATGTGTTAAAGAAGAGTGGAATAAGATTGATTTAGATGCGTGTAAAAAGTTTTTAAAGAGCATGAACAGTAGATGCAATGAATTATTAAAAGTGAAAGGTGGACATACTAAATTTTTAATAAAAATATTCCTTTTTTG